AATAGTCGTTTATGGAAATATTGAATTGTTAATTTATATAATACTTGATATTAAATATTTAATATTTATATACGAATATTAAAATATTGTTATATACTGTTACAATATTATGTAATATTAATGGTAATATTATATTGTTCATCTACCTCTAATATTTTCTGAAAAATTTTGTATGCGTTATCCATGGAAGCAAAAGAATTTATTCATTGCTTGGGAATTAAAACCATAGTTATTTGAAATACCATATTTATTTAACGTTAATATTTCGAAATATGTTTAGTTAAGTAAAGAATATTAAAAATGAATTATTTAATTTAAGGATACTTTAAACATTTATTGTTTTTCCTCTCATTCTTTGGTCTATAATGCTTATGTAGTCATACGTAATTCATGTGATTTGCAATTATTTTTGTTACAATTGTATATTTATAAAGCTTTGTAATATCATAAATAGATGTGAATGTGCTGAAACCTGTGTCTGCAAAATTTAGTGGTTATTTAGTAGTCTTTTAAAGTGTTGTCCCACTTTCTCAGTCAACCCTTACGCGAAAAGTGGAGCATTTTGACCTGAAATTGAGTCAAGAATATTCTTCTCTTGAGTATAAATGCATTACAATCCACTTTCATTTCTTTTAACTTTTCCCTTGAGTTCTGATGACATTTTGAGCTAAGCGAAACAAGAAAATATCTATTTATTCCTAGCAATCAGCAAACAAGAATCTGTTTGAAACTTTCATAATATATTTATTACTATTGTCCATGCTAATATATTCCAGAAACCACATATTCTATTAATAAATTATTATTAATAAAGGTCAAAATTGTGTCTTATAATTTAATACGATTGAATTATATTAACCTCATATGTTACATATATTTTTATGTGAACTCAACTTACAATAAAGAAACGTTGCTGTATAGTATTGGAAATTTGAACACTGCGTTCTATGAAACAATAAAACTTTACACTTTTTCTCAAAGAAAAGAAATAAACTTGATGTACATTTATATAATTTACGAATGAATTTAACATAATCTAGACAATTTCAAATTTGACCTTTGTAATTTAAACTTTGACAAAATTGTGGCAAAAGTGCATTCACATTCTTGTAACACAAAAACAAAGTAATTCTTGGAAAACTGTTAAGTAGTATAATTTTGGAAATAATTATTCATTCCCATGAATCTTCTACTTCCTTAAACTAGATTTCATACTTTTCCTAATCATTAGAAAGATAATGTTACTTCAAATTACTGATTTATTGTTTTCTGTTATATATTTCAACAATGTTGTGCGTTGCAATATCCACTGCGCAACTCAAACACGTTATTATTCGCTTTACACGGTACTGCCGTTTTTATAAAAATCCACAATAAACACTCGCAAACATTCCACATCTTGAAAACAAACATTCATTCATACTTCAACTTAGAATAATTGTTGTTCATTACGTGCACCGAGGAAATTGAATACAATATACAGATAAAAATTCATAACAACTAAAAAATTTGTTTCTTGAATGATTTATTTTGATTACATTTCTGTCGTGAAAAGCATGAAAATTTTGTTAATTATGTCGAAAACAGTTATTAAATTAAACGCTCCATTACCGAAAATAACAAATACTCGTAACTTTTTAAAATTCGTATTATTATTCATATTTTAATTTCAGTTTTCACGCTAATAAATTAAATTCTTTATCAATGATCATTTCTAACAGCTAATTTTTATTCAAGAACATTTGTTGTGAGAATAAAAATGTAAAAATTCGAGGCTTCATTTAATGTCCGCATTACCCCGGGAATTAAAAGCAAGATAGTCATGGAATGGAAAGCAGACCGTGGATTTGGAAAATGCATTAATTACGAGAACGCACACGAATACCTTACTTTTAGAAGTAAAATATTTCCAGAGCATTTTATCCATTTTTAAACGTTTAACCCTATGTAAACCATTAAGAGAATCTACTGCTTGACCATTCACTGCACCTTAAATCTTTTCAAATCAAAATACAAATTTCTTGTTAAATGGAAGTATTTTTATTGATAAAGCTACTATTATATTTAAGTAAAAATATGTATAAAAGTGAAAATTTATTATTAATAGGGCACTTATCAAATAAACATTGGTTACGCCATTTTATAAGTTTTAATGAAAATGACAATTGCAGATGTTCGTATGTTTTAGGAGGTAGAAATTTATTTGCAGAAGAAACCAATGTTAAATTGAATTGAACTCCCGCAGAAAAAAGACATTTTTATATGGAACATATTAAATCCACAAATTGCAATTTCTATTAATTGAAAAATATTTGGAAATTTTCAAATTCCATCTATGTGTTTTGTTACCTAAGCTTTCAATACTAAATACTTACAAAATGAACTGGATTAAAACCATCAATTGTGTTTAATGAAATACTATAAACAATAATAACATTGAACACAATATGTTTTAACAAAGAAAATAATATTTTCTTGGCAATTATGCAGTACATAGAGGGATTGAGAAAAAATTTTGCAATTTTTAATTAATAATATTAATAATATTTAGTTGCTAATTTTCGAATATATATGTTGACCTAAGAACGTTACCTATTTGAAACAACATCGTTTTCTCAAGAAAATTAAGAAATGAATAAAAAATATGAAATACGATATTTTACGTTACAATGGATATAAATTTCAGAGTTCTGTCAACTCTTGTTTCTTATAATTTAATACCGAAAATTCTGAATCTCCATAAAAATCTGGAAATTAATTTACTATTTATGACAGAATGGTTAATCTTCTTATATTCAATGTCAAATATTTCTTATATTCAATATCAAATCTCGTATTATAGGTCATTAAAATCGTCTGAACATCCGCTATTCCAGCAGAGATAAAATGTATAGTGCATCGTATAAACCTTAATTGCGAGAGGAATTCCGACCTAACCTAGTCTTGCTTGTGTACAGAGTAAAATTTTAATATTTTCCTCGAGTCAAGTATTCTATCCACATGACGTTAAACAAATGGGATCACTTAAATTGTATTTTTAATATCCACATTTAAATTACTAATGTTTTGAACCTATCTTATAATATCGAATGAGATTCCAGCTGAAGATTACAAATTAAATTTAACCCCTTGCCCTGAGATTTATTTTTTAACTGTGATGGTAGAAGAATAATATTTAATTCGAATTTAAAGGGATTGAGCAATATTTATGTTGGTTAAAATCTATGTAAAATGTTCATCGCATGTTTCACACGTTATTATAAAGCAAGAGGTTAATAAATAAAAACACCACTCACCTGTTAACAACAAATAAACTTTAG